GCCATGAGATACACAGCATCTACATTTATGTGGGTTCATCCCACACCACTGCTATAGCATGCAAATGCCATAGGGCTAGTCTAGGCTTTGGACACAGTAGTGGCTTGAAATGCAGGGAGGTCATTCCCCCCTGCTGCGTTTCAACTCACATTCTTAGATTGCTGTACAGACCAAAGAGTGGGCAGAGATGTCTTCACCCAATGCCCATTACCCGATTTGTTTGTCTGCAGAGAACTCCAATTCATTAACTCCGTCATCTGTGCATGTGCAATGGCTACCTGAAATGTACACAACTCAGCTTCACCATAACTTTCTATCTTCAAAAGCTGGTCTGAGGGAAAGCACATCCAACAGGGATAGCTCTCAAGAAGCTGGAGGATATCTATGGTTTATGGCTAACACCATGCATAAAGGTAAAGAGACCCCTGACCATTAGGTCCAGTCGTGGCCAACTCTGGGGTTGCAGTGCTCATCTCGCTTTATTGGCCAAGGGAGCTGGCGTACAGTCATGTGCGGCATGACTAAGCCGCTTCTGGCGAACCAGAGCAGCTCACGGAAACGCCGTTTACCTTCCGTCCCGAGCGGTACCTATTTATCTACTTGCGCTTTGATGTGCTTTCGAACTGCTAGGTTGGCAGGAGCAGGGACCCAGCAACAGGAGCTCACCTTGTCGCGGGGATTTGAAGCACCGACCTTCTGATCAATAAGTCCTAGGCTCTGTAGTTTAACCCACAGTGCCACCCGCGTCCTAACATCATGCATACTCAGCATCAAACACCAAAGGTGGGGGTGCACTGGAGGCTGGAGCTGGAGGCTGGAGCGCCCCCCCAACCCGTGAAAGAGCCCGGCAACGGGTTCAGAATCGGAGCGGGGGAAGGAGCGCTGTGCTGTGGGCTGTTTGCTTCTTCTGTGGAGTGAAGCCGCTTCTTCTGTGGAGAGAAGGGCACCCTCAGGGGTTTGTTTAGTGTGCAGGTGGACACTATGATTTGTGCCTATGATGCTAACAGTCATGTGCCTGTCAGCGGTTCTTTTTTTGGGGGGGGCACTGATTCATTCCCAATTTCCTGCTCAAATCCCATAACTTTTCATACCACAAATATTATGGGGGAGCCCCCCCCCCCGATTTGTTGTGCTATAGCCCCTCAAGACAGAAATACTGTGGTAGCACTGGGGAAGCATTGCAGAAAATTAATGATGTTGTTGTTGTTTAGTCGTTTAGTCGTGTCCGACTCTTCGTGACCCCATGGACCAGTGCACGCCAGGCATTTCTGTCTTCAGAACAATTAATAAAGCGGAATAAATCCACCACTAATGCCCTACTATTGTGTTGGGAACATGTTACAGAATACACATGCAGTAAAGCACCCATCTGGAAGGACCCTAAATCTGTATAAACTTCTTTTTCTTTTTTTAAATTATAAATCAGGATATATTTTTTAAATACAACATACCAAACATCCTCTGTCTCTTCTCTGGACAAAGAGTTACTATGTTGGACCTTTACTCAGCAGTATTAAATTAGCTCACTCACCACATAATGACAGTGAGAGCATAATAACACCTCCATCCCTGACAAATCTATAAATTTGTCTCTTTGTGAATAGCATAAAGGACAATTGCTCACCAAGCCACCTCCACCACTACAATTATCCTATTGTGAATGGCAAAGTATAAAGAAGCTAACACAGAAAGTACAAATGAGACCATATTCCTCTCATTTCTTAGGTTCCTCCAAGCTTTAGTCCTTATTTCTCACTTTCACTAGCATCCGGTTTGCATCCAGACCCTATTCAAATAGCTGGTTTCAACCTATAAAACCTTACATGGTTTGGGCCTTGGAAGAGCAGCAGCAAGGATCATTCAGTTAGTAGGTGTTTGTTGCAGAGCAGCCAGAGTGGCATGATCCTTGCAAAGTGGTCTGATCTCCTAGATTGTTCTGAAGTCTCCCCCTGTGCCTGTTGTTGAATATCTCCCTGCTCTCAACTAAACCTATCAATAAGACAGAACCCCTATGTTTATTTCTCCTCTTGCTATTTACCATTTTTGCTCAGTTAATCCAGAAAAGTATAGTTTCTTTTCTCTCTGGACTCCATGTGCATTATGTAAAGTGACTCTGATAATACTTTGGACCTCAGTGTGTGAAGAAATGCGTCTATGTACCTATGAGCTACAGGGGTCCTTCTCCAAGTGCCCCCTCAACCTGAGGGTGGCTACAAAAGAGAAGGCCTTCTCTGTAGTTGTCCCATGTAGGTGGAATACTGTCCCTGGAGAGTCCTCTCCAGCTTCTACAAGGCCTTTCTGAGGTCTTTTAACATTCCATTTTTACATTGTTTTTTTAAGGCTATTGAGGGCACTTCCAGACTATCACTATTTCTAGGTGGGATTCAGTCACATGCCAGCAGATTCATGTTGTGCAATTGCAACAGTTTGGAAGGTCATGCACAACAAACCAGTTTCCCCACAAAATCAGGTAAGAAAAGTGATGGGGAAATGCACTGGGAAGCGTGGAATAATACTTGCTATCTTGCAATGTCATCTAACCTCACTGCAAAAAATAATAATCAGGAAACAGGTTGTCTCAAAGCACCCTTAGTATCCTGTATTGCAGGGGGTTGGACCAGATGATCCTTGGATTCCCTTCCAGCTCTACAATTTCTTAATTCTTTAAGATTGTTTACATTCTCCTGGTCTCTGTTTTAATGGCAGTTGATAAGTTTTTAGCCCCTTCTAGTTATTTTTATATGATTAGGTTGTTTTACTATGATATGCTATTTCATTCTCTGTTTGCTGTGGGACTTTTTAGACCAAGTTGTGTATATTAATCTACGTTATGGTGTGCTCCTTTTAGAAACTTAATGGTTGCACGTTATGTAGAGAATTTAGGTTATGAGGTGACTCACACATGGAAACAAATAATCAAGCAATCTCTGGATGAAACAGATTGGTCATCTCACTTCCTGTATAGAAAGAAAATTCCAGAGCAACTTTGATTTCCATGGGAAGAGAGGGAAGCAGGGACTCATGCTTTAAAAAAATAATCTGCTTATATACAGAAATAGAAACAGCAGGCAGGAAACTAGCAAGCAGAGAGGACAGCCATAAAATGAGGATGCTGCATCTGTGGCCAAAAGCAGCAGCATGGGGTGTAGATAACAGTCTGGGGTAAGCCAGGTGACTGGAAAAGAGAGCCATTGGATCAGCCAGAAGTCAAGACTGAAGAGTGTCGGGATTCGGGCCAAAGGGCAAATCAGGGGATGGGGTTGTACAGCAAGCCAGAAGTCAGGTTCAAAGAATAATTAAGAATACAGAAAATGCCAGAGCTCAGGCAGACCACCAAACAAGGCTCAACTGGAACAGGAAGCCCTTCTATACTTCTTCCAATGACCAGTCTGGGTGGGGGAGTCAGTCCAGGGCCTAAAGGCACTTAAGTGATAAGAAAGGATTGGGAAGAATTTTAATTCAGGTCACATTTAAAGATGAATCACCCTAATTCACTTTCTGAAATAATATGAGAATCAAAACAAAGCCATCCTTTGAAATTAGATTTTCTAAATGTTGATAATACAGTTCTCCAGCCAAGTAACGTGTACAAAATGGTACATACTTGGGTAAAGTGTCATGTATGAGTGAAAATAACATTTAAAAAATGCATTATTTTAGGGGAAATTATACTGTACAAAAGTGTGTGTTCAACAAGCTCAACAACTTTCCCCAAAAAAAGCTCAACTTTCACTTTTTGAAATATGGCAACCCTAGTTAGACCAAATTGCATTCACATGTATTCCACACTCAAATACTAATGAATTTGCATAAGGACTTTTAAAAAAATTAATTGCAACCTGATGTGGAAATGTGGAGAACTGGAGACTGGAGGAAAAAGTGAATATGAAAATGACAGATTCCCCCATCACTACTGAGAAACTACTTCTGGCAATTCAGTGATGCACCACATGGGGCAGCTGCAAACAGATCCGGCTGCTTCCAACACCTTTCTCACCCATTTCCTACTGCATTTCATTAACCAGCTCTGCCTTACCAAATTCAGACAGCACAAACTGCTTGTTTCTGTTCTCACCGTTTAAGTTAAGCATGTAGGTTCAACTCCACCATCAACTAGCAAGTTATGCAAACAACAACAAAATGGTCTCTCTTCCCTTAGCATAATAGGATGGTAAGGCCCACAACCATATTATAGTGACACTGAGCAGCAGGGCTGTATTGAAATGCCCATGCATGTGTACTGAAGTATATTTATGGATGCAGGACATTCCTGCAGCAAACTCTCAGGGAGGTGTGAAAAGCTGGGGCCAAAGCAGCCTTATACCATGCAACAGCCCCAGAATCTCTTTTTAGTATCAGAGAACTGAATTCTGGAACATGTGAAGCAATGCTGAATAACTGTCAAGAAAGCACAGCCTGGGCTTGTAGTGTTAGGATCAAGCACCGGGGTTTAAGATCCTTCAGTTCTTTTGAGTTCACATCCTTATTCAGTCATTGCATGATGAAAACTGAAGGACACCTGTAGATAAAATTTTCAAGAGACTAGTATAGTTACTTCTGCATTGACATTCAGACTTCGTTGCGCAAAGCAAGCATATAAACTGGAATCCCAAGAACAGAACGAGTTCCACTCTCCCTGACATTAGCTGTTCCTATTCTGGGTTGTAGCATAGCTTCAACTAGTTGTTCCCTTCTTGTGATTGCTTTTGGTTTTTTATTGTGGTTTTGCATGTTTATCCTCTCTTGAGAATCTCTCTCTCTCTGTGTGGTAATCTAATTCAAGAAAGGCCAAAGATCTCATTCTCCACCTAATTTGGCTTTCAAGCTGTTACATTTTTTTAAAAGTGGTTTGTAAATGAGGCAGGCTAGGAGGATGATTCATATCTATTCAATTCAGAACCATTAATTAGAAAGTATATTACAATGATTTTCATTTCATCACCATCAGAATAAGGCACAAAACACTGAACAAAGTAGTCAAATGCATTTCTTAACACATTGTGTCCCAATTATATACCTTTATTCCCAAATGTACAATATTTACAATTTAGAAAAGTATGTAAATATATTAAGTATACACATTTAATCATATTTTCTCTTCAGCTTTGCAAACCAGAGCACTAACATTCTAGCTTAACACCACCAGTATAATAACCAACATTTTAAAATAGCAATTTACATAAAATATACCGTATTTTTCGCCCTATAAGACGCACCAGACTATAAGACGCACCTAGTTTTTGGAGGAGGAAAACAAGAAAAAAAATATTCTGAGTCTCAGAAGCCAGAACAGCAAGAGGGATCGCTGCGCAGTGAAAACAGCAATCCCTCTTGCTGTTCTGGCTTCTGTGATAGCTGTGCAGCCTGCATTCGCTCCATAAGACGCACACACATTTCCCCTTACTTTTTAGGAGGGAAAAAGTGAGTCTTATAGAGCAAAAAATACGGTATTTCCCGTTGCAACAGGCACATTAGCAGTATTGCAATTAAGTTGATAAATATTGATTTCTACACTTGAATTGTTGTTCTTTGCTACATAATGTTGTTGAAAATATAACCTTTTCTCCTAGTTGATTTTAAGCAGCAATGGATTCCGAGAGCAGAATATACTGGAAACATTTCTTGTGAGAATTGTGCAACTCCTGTTCCCTGCAGAATTGGAGTTATGCAGCTTAGTGTCACCATCTGAACCAGTTGTGACTAACAAGGAAAGCAACTGTAACACTGTAATGCATAACTCAATAAATACATTGAGCCAATATGCAGCAGGTGTGAAGAAAAGGTGAACTGAATTCTACGCTAGAAATCATTAGGAAAGGGATTCAGTGGTGGACCTTGGGGTCACAAATTTCAGTGGCACCCTGTGCAACGCCAAAATTTGTCCCCTGCCTCTCATGCTCCATTCTAAATAATAGTTGTGGTGCCCTCTAGGCTCTGCACCCAGTGCGACTGAACCAATCACATTCCTCTAAACCTGCCTCTGAGGGACTGAAAATAAAACTGCCATTATAAAGATCTATGTACTTAAAATTCAATGTACAGTTTTGGTCACTGCATCTCAAAAAAGATATTGTAGAATGGAAAAAAGGATACAGAAAAAGACAACCAAAATCATCAGGGGTCTGGAACTTCTTTCTTTATGAGGACTGTGTACATACCATACATTTAAAGAACATATAAAGTGCATGGCTTCCCCCAAGGAATCCAGGAAACTGTAGTTTGTCAAGGGTGCTAGGAACTGAAGCTCTGTAAGGGGATCTTTGGGGAAAGTCTGGTGCTTTAAATGTATGATGTGTATACAGCTGAGGAAAGGTTACGGCATCTGGTGCTTTTAGTTTAGGAAAAAAAGGTGAATGAGGTGCGTTAAAAGTATGAACAGTATAGACAAAGTGGAGTTTTTCTCCTTCTCTCATAATATTAGAACCTTGTGTCACCCAGTGAAGCTGAATGTTGGAAGATTTGAGACCGACAAAAGAAAGTACTTCCCATAGCACATAGTTAAACTCTGGGATTCATTGCCACAAGATGCAGCAATGAGCATCAACTTAAGGCAGCTTTTTAAAGAATTGGACAGGTTCATGAATGACAAGGCTATCAATGGTTACTGGTTATAATGGCTGTATATTATCTCCAGTATCAGACATAGCATGGCTCTGAATACCAGGCACAACACAAGAGATGGCAATTGCACTCTTCTTGTTTGCAAACTTCCCAGAAGTACCTGGTTGGACCCTGTTTGTGCTAGATGGGCCTTTGGTTTGATGCAGCAGGGCTGCTCTTATTTTCTTATGCTATATCTGCTTGCATTACTAAATATTTAGGTGTATACAGCACAAAAATGACGTCCTTGCATAGAATTTATACTGTGCAATAAAGACACTACAGTATACAGAAATGGAGAAAAGATCATGAACAGACCAAGAAAAGCAGTAAATGAGGTGGGGAAGAGCAAGACAACAGAGGTGAAAAGTCCATAGCTAAGTGGTACAGTATATGCTTTGCTTGTGTAAGGTTTTGGGTTCAATCCCCAGCATCTCTTCTGTTAAAAGTGCTCTCAAAAGAGGGCTGGGAAAAACCCTAGAAAACCACTGATGGAGCAGACAACACTGGGCAACGTGGACCAGCTTATGTTTTTTGAAATTGTTTGGTAAAATTAGTTTTGAGGAAGGCTTTAAGAGACAGGAAGTAGGCTTGTCGAACAAGGAGGTCACTGGCCTGGTTAACACATAACACTAAGCTACAATTAGTTTAAGCCATGGTTTGTTGCACAAACTGCAAGTTTACAATGGTTTGTCCCACACATGATCAAAGAAACTGTGGTTTGTTTCTCCAATGTTGCTCTTGCCTTGTGCCTTTGTAGTTTGACTAGCGTTTGGGGGGTGTATGGTGGTCAAACAAACCATAGTTAAGGCTGCTGTGTAATGGCAAGCCATAGTTAAAACAAAGCAAGGTTCATAAGCCAACAATAAAGCATGGTTTAAGATTGTAGTTTGTTGGTAGTAGAAACACCAGTTAAGCCGCTGGCCAGGATTAACACATGCTAAGCCATGTTTTAATAACTCTAGCTTAATAAACCATGGTGTAGCATTAGGTGTGAATCAAGACATTGTTTTATACTGTTGATAGGTGATAGCATGACAGAAGTCACAGAAACAGGAGCACAAGAAGGACAGGGGCTTGATCACAGAGGAGCTATTACAGAACAGATGGAGCAAGCAAGGAAATTTAATGGGTAGGATATTGTCAGTGACAGAGTTATGGGCAAGTGAAAAAGAAATAACAGGCATGAATCAAATAACAGGCAAAGGACTTCAGGTGGGACCGGACATGATCCAAATTGATGGAACAGAAACATACATTTATTTAGCAGAGGTGCTTTGAACTGATTCAATGGGTCAGATATACCAGGAGAGTAAGCCAGCTAGGAATTGTGTTTAGATCAGAAACAAAAACAAAAACATGGAATGAAGTGTCATACTGACACTTGGGAAAGTCACATGCTCCTGAAAAGTAACAGCAGCCTGAGGAAATTCAGAAGTTCCCTCAGAAGCACAGTAGTTAATGGCAATCAACTGTATTGCTGCAGCTACAGAAAGAGTAGAATATGCAGCCAACTGCATAATGTGCATATTTGTTAAACACTTTCTAAGTATTAATTTTCACACTCTAAATTTTTATAGCAGGCATACAGCAGTTATAAATACATGCTAAGTCTGTTTTTACACGAAAAACCCACAAATGTCGTCTCTTAAACAGTAATTGCCAGTTAACAAGTACAGTTCAACACAATCTTCGTAAACATTTTTTTAAAGGTTAGTTTGTTTAAATAACATACACCATTTCTTTTGAAGCTGACATGAAAGAGTCTCATTTGTAGCAATCTTACTTATGCACAATTGACTAAAATGATAAGAAAACCCTTCTACTCAGGTATTAGAGATTGTACTTGAAGCTAGAATCTGCATCTACTAAAAGGATATTACTTTTAGTTAGTTTTCGTTTAGATAAGACCTTACCTTACCAACTGCTCACTTGAAATCCAATTCATAGTTAACAATTGCATCCTTCATTCAAAACCATCAGATAAAGGCACATTTAATACACTTCAACATCACATTTGATGGAGATCTTACACAATATTCAGGTCCGTTGCTAAGTAATGCCTAGACATGCATTCAGATCCAGCAATATTTTATGATTTAAGTCCTGTCTGTGTGCAAAACCAGGCACAGTAGTTTGGTTTTAAAGTGCTGGCAGAAAAAGCAAACTTTTGAATTATAATATACTTTTTAGAAATTGATTCCAAAATAAAAAGTGTTAAAATTCTACAGAACTGAATACATGTTGTGAATGCCACCCACTTCCTTCCTTCCTAGTTCTCCTCTTACTCACTTTCTTCTGCTTTCAGTTAAGGCATTCCTGCAAGCCTCAAGTTATATCACTTGGAAAGAGACAAAACTTATTTCTAATCCACATCAAAACTAAGTCATGAATTGTAGCTCATGCCATTCACCCAACCTGCCCACATTTCTTTGTACAGAGCATGACATTTAAGATTTTAATTCCTTGGGCTTTACTCCTGAAATTTGTACTGTCAGATGTGGCCTCCAAACAAGTCCCAATTTTGACTCACAGAGTGGAAAATTCCACCTGTGTGATTGTTCATTGCCTAGTACAAAGCCATTGTATTCTTTAAGCGATAGACTGAAATGTATTAAATGTGCCTTTATCTGATGGTTTTGAATGAAGGATGCAATTGTTAACTATGAATTGGATTTCAAGTGAGCAGTTGGTAAGGTAAGGTCTTATCTGAAAGCAGGATTCAAACTATACAGAACTCTAAATAAAGGCTCTTTAGGAAGCATTCTTCACGAAGATTCAATACGCATAAAACAATGAGCACTGTATGCAGATTCAAGACTGCATTTCCATATAGCCTACAAACAAAACTTTAGCCATCTTTTCTTAAAACAAAACCAAAAAATATCATTGTATAATTTTTAAGCTATTAAAAGAATACGTTCCCCAACGAGCCAAAAATAGTTAGCTTCCACTGGTAATGATTTATTTCAAAAGACTTGAGTTGCACTGATAGCAGATCCAGATGCCCAGACACATTAAAAGGATACTTTCTGAAAACTAGAAGTATTCAGCCATATGCTTTGCAAGGGTGCAACATAACTAAAAGTAGTAATTGCTTCTGAGGTATTTTAAAAAGGACAACATTTCCATAGGCTTGAGAAGTTCTGAGGCACAGATACAATTGGTACTATGGCAGCAGAAGCAGTCAGCAAGAGATTTGAATCCCTGTAGTGCAGTATAAATGCGTTCAAGCAGCAATTAGTCTAGTGCATAAACAATCTCACAGTCAGAATAAGAAGAAAGCAAGTTTTCATATTTTAAATAGGGCACTGCAGGAAGCTGAGTAGGAGAGCCAATCAAACTGACATTTTATTTTAAATGGCTGCACTGCTTTGCGAAACAAATGTTCCCTACAGGAATAAATGCAAATGATTTAACATGCTGGTTTGGAAGTGAGTCTCAGTGAAATATTGTTTTCTAATATGTGCCCCTTTTGTTCAGCTACTATGCATTTCAAAAAATATTGTACCAGAATAGTACCTAGCAGACTTTCCCATGGAAACAATCAGTCCTGGGGGCACACCTAGACCAAGCCCCTCCTCACCTGCCATACAGTATTTGCATTCATGGCTATCTTGCAACTTAGCCTTCAAAGGAAAAGTGCTGTCCACCAATCTAGCTCATTTTTCTAATATTGTTGAGTGTAAGTGCTCTCAGTTTACAGAGAAATTTGCCATAAATTTCAGTGGCAATGATATTTGGCCACTTGAGTTTATGGCTTTGATTAACAAGCAGCATATTTCATTCTCATCCACCTTGGCACAAGGATGCCCTTTCCGCCCAGGATGTCTTACAATCTTTGTTCTACTAAAATAAATAATTTTGCATTGCTTTACCCCAGCTGTCCCCCCACCTGGGACCCTCCAGATGTTCTGGACTATAATTCACATCAGTCCCATCCAGCACGTCTTTACCAGCTGGGGATGATAGAAGTTGGTAGTCCCAAAACGTCTAGATACTTGGGGGCAGCTGTTTTAATCAAAGCAGGCTATTAGAATTTTCACATGAATTCTTCATTAAAAGAGCCACTATAAGACTTCTGAAGACAAGATAGGGGGAGTTTCTGCACAGTGGTATTGCTAGGGATTTAATATTTTTTTTAAAATCCCTAGTGGTCCCTAGTGGTCCACAGAACATGTACGGTTCATAAAGACAAGTCCATTATTCGTTATCTCTGTAGTAACCTTCAATTATATCTGAATTAAAATATATCACAGTAACCGTGATGTCATCCCTATACAGCCGTGCTACATCATCAGGAAGAGTCAGCATTGCCATGAGCCTCTCTGGATCAATCTCTCCATATTCATTATTGCCAATGGCATTTCGGATGAGGTGGGTAGCCACGTTGTGGTCATAGGAGCGGATGTGCCTGCCCTTCCTCTGAAGAAGGAAGTTTTGCATGTAACCTAGGTTGGCTGGTTTCTTAAAAGCAAGTGGCGTTTTCTGGGCATTGTCTCCAAGCAGATGCGTGGCAACAAGCTTGACCACCTCTTCATTACTCAACATGTCCCACAGCCCATCCGAAGCAATCACTAAAAATTTATCCTGCTTTCTTATTTTGTGGTACGTGACTTCAGGTTCTGCAGTTAAATAAGGAGGTGTATGATAGTTTGGCGGTGCATACTCATAAATGTTTAAAGCCTCCGTGTTGCAACCATTTCCTAGCACACTCTGCTGAAGTTCCTGGCTCCACTTAAATCTGACATCTCCGAAAGCTCTGGAGGGCATAAGAACTCCCAGCAACCTGTTGTTCACAATGACAGTGTCCTCTTCAGAGGCCGGGTGTTCACTTTTTAACCTTAAAGCTTCCAATTTGTTGAAGGCATTGTGGTCTTGAGTAAGAGGGAGGGCGGACCACATCCCATCTTTATTTTGAACCCCTAGAATTGCTCTACAGTCACCAGTATTTGCAACATGCAAATTAACACTGTCGATGTGAGCCACACATGCTGTTGCGCCCGAGAAAGCCACCTGAAGGGCTATGTTCCTTACCAATTCATTTTCTGTGGGAGCCTGGACTTCCAAAGAGAAATCTGAATCCAGCCTTTTAAATGCATAGATCAGTGCATCCTTCTTAGTATGGCATGGCTCCATGTCCAGGTTCAGCAAGTCTTGCCAATAAACTCTGAGCTGCTCCAAATACATTGGGGCGACCTCATGAAAGAACCTGTCGTTGGGGTGTTTGTGCCACTGCAGAATGGGCAGAACTGGTTTCATGGACTCCATGGCAGACTCGATTTCTTGAAGTGTTTGTTGAGACAGAAGAGAAACAGCAATGTAAGAAAACAGCCTCTCGCTGACCGACTGTGCACAAGCATAGCCTGCATGGCCATCAAAGACTCCAAACATCATCCCTCTGGTCTGCAAACATGTAGCTGCACTTCTACGGTCTTCACTCGGGGCGTTGGCAGCCAAGTGGTTACTCTCAAATTTCAACACTGAGCTCGGGTTCTTCCCATCAAATTCAGGTACTGTATAGGACAACTCATTAGCCCTTAAGATTTCATTTATCTGTGATGGTGTCAGGTGGAAGGAGAAGTCTTCTTCTTCTGTGGAGGTGTGTCTGAAAGCTTTTCTCACAGTGAAGATGCTGTCCATGCCACAACTGCAACTTGACAGGAAAGAAGAAAAGGAGTCTTTGGCAAGCAAACCCCTCCATGCTACTTTGTTCTGGCTCGAAAAGCACCTGGAATACAAACGTCCTTTTCCATGCAAAGAGGATATAATGTTTCTTGCCGAGATGATACTCCAGGAGGTCATAGTACTTGACATCTTAAGAACTGGTTCTGCTTTAAAGCAGGACAATTTGAAAAGCCTACAAGTAAAAAGAAAGCTATTATTTTTTTTAAGGCAACAATGCTTCATGTTAACATCCATGCTGTGACTTATACCAAGAGGCCACTGAGAATAGATAAATATTTTGTTTTGTAACTTAATCATAAATTTATAAATAATTTGTGCATTTTATAAATTTAGAATTTAGTAGCAAGTTAAGCAGATTCTGAAACTGACAACTTTAGATGTTGGTGGAATGCACCTTGGCATGCTAATGTTAAAAGCACATTTACTTAGAAATAACCCTACATTTTCAAATGCCAACACACTGAGGATTGTTTATTTCTAAGGGATAGGTTACATGCCAAAAGTATATTCCGCATTGTCCAATCCTTTGCAGAGTTGTTTCATATCCGAAATATGCTATCTTCCAATCGGAATCTACTCTCAATGGCTATGAATGTACTGAAGTACATTCAGGTTGAGAGGACTTGTACTGAACTAACCCCAGACATGACACCTGTTTTGTAATACCTCGTGGAATTATTCCAAGAAGGATCAGAAGTTCTGCTTAATCCTATTGCTAGCATGAAATATGCAAAATAACTAAGCGAAGTAATACCTTCTATTGCACTAGCTTCTCTCTACCTGGAATCCTATGCACACCCACTTGAGACTAAGTAGTCTCACTAAAAACAATGGGGCATTTTCAGAGTCAATATGTTTGAGGTCACTCTGTCAGCATAAGCAGGTATGGAAGTTTTGGAAACAATCATGAGTTAGCCTAATGAAAGTATATGCTCAATCTGCATAGTACAAAAGCACTGTCTTGAGTTTATAAGCCTTGGAATAGGTTACAGAGCTCACTGATTGTTTCTAACTCTTTCAAGGGGGCAAGGAGTGGTGTCAAGGTGGCAGTAAAGGGGGTTTGCTTAGCTTATTGGTGGAAAAGAATGCCAGTAGCCCTGGAAACTATCACACAAACTGGCTTTCTTCAGGAACAGAGCCGTTAAGGTTGCTCTAATCTTAGTTTTCTGTTACACTCTGTTCAACTCCTTTGCACCACCGCTGACATAACTGGAATTGCTACTGGTCATTGCTCACCATCCAAAAACCATCCAAAAACTGTCTGGCACGTTAAACACCTCTTGCTTTGGAGAATGAATGCAAACTTCTCTTTCTAGGTAAGCAGGCAAAACACTGAGCTTTATTGGCTTAACAGGCAGCTACATTGAAACTATTAAAATGTTCTTCTCTTAATTTTTTTCTTTTTTACTGAATATATCTAGTATCCAGAGTTTTGCTTTATGAATCTAGAATGCAGCTGTAGTTACATGTCTGGCTGTACTCCCAACCGAAGCGTCAGAAACTGGCTTGTAATTTCCCTCCCCTCTTTGCTCTCTCTTCTCTTGAAAAAAAAAATCAAATACTGTTTTTATTGTCCTTCCAGTCCTAAGAGTTGAAGCAAGCCTACATAGCTTATGACACATTGTTATTATTAATAATTACCTGCCCTTCACCTTAAGGCCCCAGAACAGGTTACAACATTAAAACACAGTATCAAAAATAGTTTAAAGCAACTTACAATCACCAAAATAAAGTGGTTCCTAAAAATATACACCTCAAGTGTCAAAAGTCAGGGTAAAGAGGTGTGTATTCAACAGTCACTGGAAGCTGTACAGTTGAGGTACCAGACACACCTCTGCCAAACACATCAAACCAAACACAGTCCACTAACTAAATGTGAAGGACTACGTAAGGTGCCTGGTGACTCCGTGTCTATATTATCATGTATTCAGCAAAAACAAAGGTTTCATTAAACTTCTGGTGATCACCATACACAGTTGTTGAAGCGGAGTTTGGCTTTGCAGGCTACAAATGTGCATGCTTAAGGTACTGACTTTGTTTGGGGTCCTATTGCTTGTAAAAGGGTAGTCTCAGGACAGAAAACTTCTACATGTATGATTTTTAAAAAACACATTTTAAAATAATTTAAAAAAATATATTTTCCAGATATGCACTTACAATCGGGAGACTGTCCTATCCTGGGTAACAGCTGGGCATTTCCCAAGAATGGTCTTTTTTAAGGAACTGTGAAATAAAGAAGACAATCAATATCTATCTATCTATCTATCAACATAATCAGAATCGGAACGTTAAATCCTGCACTCCCTTTACCAATCACATTTTTCTCTTTAATAAGCCTTCCAAGTAATTTATTAACTAAGCACAGGAAGGTATGGAGCCCCTGAACTATTACATGTGTCAGATAAATGCCTCATCAACAGCTCATGATATATTGCATTTGTGAATATACAGTATAACAAAAGGTTCCTTTGACCAGGCTGGATGTAACATGAGGCAGTGATCATTCTGGAGGAAGCAGGATTGCCAGCTTGGACCTACAAACCAGGTGTAGTTTCTCTAGTATGGCAGGGCAGCATGCTGTGGGACTGACGGGACTCCGGACACTATCTATCTATCTATCTGATCCACCTAATTATTCTGATTGTAAATTGTCTGATTTTAATATTGTTACAATACTGCCCCAAGACCTTATGGTGAAGAAAGGTAAGAAATCCATTAAGTGTGTGTGTGTACACACACACACACACACACACACCCCTTCTGCAGGTAAGAGAGAAGGAAAGGTGCACTAATAAAGAAGACACTCAATGCTCAGAGTTGTTAAAATAAACTGGCACCATCTCCAGTTCTGATGGCAAGGCTGATGATTTTAAAGAGTCACAGAGCAGAGCCAGTGCCCCCATCTCTTTTCAAACATTTAAGCCAAAATTTGGGTGCGCTAGTTTAACCTCCACACTGCCAATAATGACTGGCCCACCCACTACAGTGGTACCTCAGGTTACATACGCTTCAGGTTACAGACTCCGCCAAATCAGAAATAGTACCTCGGGTTAAGAACTTTGCTTCAGGATGAGAACAGAAATTGTGCTCTGGCGGCGCGGCGGCAGCGGGAAGCCCCATTAGCTAAAGTGGTGCTTCAGGTTAAGAACAGTTTCAGGTTAAGAACGGACCTCCGGAACAAATTAAGTACTTAACCCATGGTACCACTGTACTTTGGTTGAAGGCAGGAGTTGTGAACTTCCCTTTTCACAAGAACAATTACTTGACTTTCCTCCTGTGTATCTTCAAGATGTGTGGTGTTTTGTTTCTTTGTTTTACTATTTTCCTCCCCCCACTTCCTTATTCCTTCTGTCACTTTCCCTTTCTCCCACCTACAATCAATATGGTTTCCTTCTGTTTATATAACCAAAGAGAATGGAGATACAAAACATCTGGCATTTATTTACCTTGTTAATAATACATGCCCCAGCTATATTTCTGAACATAGGTAACGTCCTGCTTCTAAACCTGCTGAAAATCAAAATAAATAAGGGGATTAAAAAAGAAGGATGCAAAATAAACTGCTTTCAGAACAGAAGCTCTTATTTCCTCTAACAGCAAACTTGGTGGTCCCATGCCAATTAGTATCTCAGTTGAACGAAGCTACCTACAGCTTAGGATTTCTAAGCTGTAGGATTTTTATTTCACTTATGAGGCATCCCAAAATGATAAGCATATATAAAACAGTTACATATATAAAAACAGTTTAATACACACACACACACACACACAACTTAAAGCAACAACGGTACATAAAGAAAATCAATTCAAATCAGAGACAGATACCATCTGGGATAAATATTTCTGAAAGCTTGCTGGGGAAAGAAGTTCAAAGATTGAAAATATTTAAAAGCTTTCCTGTAAGAATGTTAGAAGATAAAAGTTTTGACAATGAAAATGTGAGAGGAGTAAACTACTAAACCCATGGAGAGACCAGTTTTGTTTAATGAAGGCAATAGGGGTGGAAGCAGAAATTGGCCCTAGAGGCCAATTCTACCCCCTAACCCAATCCTTCAACAACAGAAAAGGAACCATCCGAAACAGCATAAAGAAAGAGATAATCCAATTTCCCCTGCTGCACTGTTCAGAATGGGGCTTAATTACACAGTCACCTCTGAAACTTCAAACTTCACTCCTCTGTAGAGCTACAGTGCTCAGCTTCAGAGCTCATGGCGCAGTGGGAGGGGGGCAGTCTGACAACCACCTATGCTATGCTACCATCAACCTTCCCTGATCTGTCTCTCTCCACCCCCAATAAGGGGAGAAGGGAAGATTAGCACACTGTGAATCCTCATGGATTCCCAATGAATCAAATATGAATCAATGCCAATTCTCCAAAAATGAACAGCATTTAAGATTTCAATCCTATCCACACTTACCATTGAATTTAATAGGGCTTACTTCTGCATAAACATTAATGGGATTATGCCACAAATTTATTTAATATCAAGACCAGTTACAGCAACATTGCATGTTGCCAGAATACTGTTGTTATCACCATAAACTTCACATTGTTTGCATAATAGATCAGCCAAGGTAATATTACATTGGAACTTGATCAAAGTGGTTCTCTTCTTGGTTGCAGTTTAGCTGCAATGGCGTCTGTTTACTTTTTCCTCATGTTGCCAAAGAGCTATCAGGAAGTTCAACAAAGTAAAAAAAATTCCAACAAAAGTTTTTTTTAAAAAAAGAAAATGAAGGAGGAACAAATTAAGCAAGGACAGAGCAGCCATTCCTCCATGACAAGATTACACACTTGCAGCACAATCCTAATTGTGGCTACTCAAAATAAAGTCCTATTGAATCCAGTTGGGTTTTCTCCCAGGTTAGGATAGCAGCTTTATATATTCACATTTATACTAATCCACACAAATAAAACACAGACATTGTCCCTCCATTAAGATCAAAGCCTGAAAACAGAATAAATGAACATTTCCTAAATCCACTGCTAAACAGGCCGGAGCTGGGAGAAGTACAACAGTATAAACCTACCTCTTAGAATTTTAAAACAGTAGAACAGTAGAAGATCACCCCAAAACTTTGGCTCCTGAGAATTTAGGTATTTTTCTTCGCTTCTTGACCAGGGACTATGCTTTTAGTAAAATTAAAAGGGGGGAAATCAAATGTTAAGAGAGCTCCTAAGAATACGGTTTGACATTCTAGAAAATTTTGGAAAGTTTTGGAATCGGGTTGCCAGCTTTCAAAACGGTTCCTTTTACAGTCGTTTGATCTACGGCAGCAATTAACAGGTGGCAAAGTTAGAAAATCTGATCCTGAAATGTATCACAGGTAAGAATTGCAAATAAACAGCGTTTCGTTTTTACCTGCTGACTTCTTACACATCAGTGAAACCTCTGATAGACACAAGACCGAGCCGCGCCGATAGATTTCATTTTGCTTTGGTTCCCTCCCCCCGCCCCCTCTCCTGGCCACTTGGCAGCTCTCCGCTACACGGAGAACAAGTGGGACAATTCAGCCCGTTACACACTCAAGACAAGCTGACGACTTTAGGGAGGACCAGCTCGGCTCCTCCCCCAGAACACTCAGCGATTGGCTGCAGAGAGGGGCGTGAGGCGACGATGGCGGAGCCAAGTGGCGCGTGTTAGGCGCGGACCGTCCCCGCCCAGCCATGCTGGTCTGCTGGAAAAAGGGGCGCGCGGGCGCAAGAAGTGCACGGCGCGGGAACCTGCTCCCTGAATGCCTTTGGAATGTGAACGTGTGAAGTTAAGGAACAGGTCCTATTGGCTTCAGCGTCCACCGGATCGCAGCTTTAAAACATGTGCAGTTTCCCCTTCCGCGGCTGGGGCGAGCGAGTCCTAGGCACGCTTACTCGGGAGTAAACCCCGCTAGCTTTTGTGAGGTTTGTGCGCTGGCACCGGTTGTAAGCCTATGCTCAACGGGGCTTCCTTCTGAGTAGGACAAACCGCGTTGTTACCAGCCCTGCACAAGCCTGGCCATTTCTACTTCTCCTCGGAAGGGAGCCCCCTTGAAGGGTGTGGCTGTGGCCGTATGCTTATTATACCTAAGACTCCGGGCTTGTCTCCTACCACCCGACGCCCGTCTGCTCCCAAGTAAGCCCCAGCTCGGCCCCTCCTCCTCCCGCAGCCAAACCCAGCTCGTCTCCTTCCTCGGCTCCCGCAGGACACCAAGCACCCCCTTACCCGCTTGGCTTGGCAGAGGCAGGGATCTGGGCCGCCGCCGCCGCCGTTCATGCCAGTTGCCCCATCAGTCCCTGGTCGCCTCCCGCCTTCCCCGCCCGCCCCCCAGTCCGTCGCCGCGCCTTGTTCGCCTGCTTGACGCGAGGTGATCCGCCGCCCGGCGTCTGCAGCGCGGCGAGGTTCTCCTCTCTGCCTTGACGCTGCTGCCTCCGCGTCCTCGGCTCACCTCGGCCTTGAGCGACTCTGCCCCAGGTGCTTGGCGTCCGCCCAGCTTCCCTCCCACGGCTGTGAAGGATACGGGTCACCAGCGACCTGTTGCCTGCTTCGCGCCAGGCCTGGGCTGTGCGTTATAGCGGATGTTCTGTTCCGCCTTGCCATAGAAAGGCCTGCTTTTCTCTCTTAAGAGGCTTAATGGTAACATTAGGACTCGGGAGCAAAGAGGAGGGCAAGGAAAGTTGTGCTTAGGACGGTGGCCGCCTTAATTCCCATTAGGGGGACCCTAATGATACTTTTATTGACATGTCTCAGCTATCCAAACCAGACCCTATTAGGCTACTAAACCTCTGGTGGCTCTGGTCTGCCCTCCGCTTGTCAGAGGTGCTGGAAAATGCTGAAGTCAGAGCCGTTGAGCCCAGGACCTGCTTGCTGGTGGGCTTCCCAGGGAGGCGTCTAGGTAGCCATTGTGATAACAGGATGCTGAACTAGATGTGTGACTGGCCAGAGCCAATAGGCTCCTCTTCTGTTGTGTACAATAAAAAGAAAATGCAATAAAAGCTAAACACTAAATGGTTAAACAAAAACCCCAAAGGACAGTGGCTAAAAATCAAACATCAAATCTGAAGAAGTGTGCATGCACATGAAAGCCTATACCAAGAACAAACTTAGTGGGTCTCTAAAGTGGTACTGGACATTAAAATTATATATATATATATATAGATAGATAGATAGATAGATAAATGCATCGCCATTAAAAAGCCACAGCACACAGGAAAGTCTTAACCTTAAAGATTGCAGTGTCAAGGCCTCTTTCTGGGTGTTATCTCAAAGGTCACAAAGGAGAGAATAAACTTTCAAACCCACCAGAGCTTTTTTTTCAGGCCGGATAAGCAATGAGTATTCTGTGGCAGCTTAAAAACTAACCAAGGCAGCGTGATGTGGTTAGAGAAGATTGGGAGAGGGGGGTTCAAATCCCCACCCAGCCATTGGGCACGTTTCTTTATCTTTGCTTCTGGCCTACCTCACAGGGTTGCTGTAAGGAGATAATGAAGGGAAGAACCACTTATGCACCCCTCAGCTCCTTGAAGGAAGGGTGGGCTTTAAGTGTAATAAATACATAACAAATTTTGCATGGCATTTTTACTTTCTGACACATCATGAAGTATTATCCTCAGAAAGAATGGGTGCTGGTGGTGTGAAGATAAACAGGTCAAATGGACATGAAATTCAAAAGTTCAGTAAAGGCAGGGAGGAAGAAGGGAGAGGAAAAGGATGTTGGTAGTTATGATGGAAAAACCCCAGTCTGAACTTTATTACAGAGACAGTTGCAAATATTGCAAATTGCAACATGGTTTTTTCCATGACATCCAACATTTGTAAATGTCCGTGGTGCCTTTTTGCATAAAATTTAGCATAAAGAAAAGTTTTGGCCTCATGACTTTTTACCCTTTAATGTAACTTAAAGATGTCATCACTAAGCATTGTAGGGTGGGTAAACCTTATATTAATAGTATACTAATCTTTGGTTTACCCTTCTTGCTTATTTGTTTTTGTTTTAACTATAAGCGTGTGGATTTTAATTTTAGTTTTTCAAAAAGAGATATCATTCCAGCATGAAGCTCCTACCCACATATTCTACATCCTCTGTGGGTGTATTCAGTGATGAGTGGTAGTCATACAGTAGCTGCTTAAAAGCGGACAATGTGGTGCAACCATGTGGAAAGGTGTTTTCACTCCTACCCCACACAACTTGAGTTGCTAAACAATCATCAGGTTTAGATAGTAAAAGGGCTGGGGTTGCAAATGGTAGTTACTGCACGTAGCCAAGGCTGAAGTTCTTGTGATGAATTTCACAGTATTGGTAATCAGAAGCAAACTTAAGATACTACAGAGTTAAACAGTAACTAACTGTCTACATATATAAAATGTTGGTGGTGCCAGTTACCAGTAAGTGTTCAGCTCATTCCTCAAGGACAGGAGCACTTCCTGGCTAAGTCTACTTACTATCTGTAAAGATAACAGGCAAAAATCATAAAATATATTATCCATTTGAGAATAGTTTATTTTTTATAATAAAATAAAAGCATATAAATCCAACTGGTAGAATAGCATTGATCCTGTACTATGGTCCTGTTTGCTTCTGGCCTGTGCATTTTATGTATTTCTTTAACCTTCTCTTTGCAGTGTGTCAGGGAACTGCCATCGGAAGGAAGGGAGGTGAAAGGACTCAGACAGGTTGGAAGAGATTCAGCAGCTGAAGAGGGAACCAGCAAGGGGAGAGAAGCTGAACTGAGGGAGGTGAAAGGGCTCAGACAGGTTGGAAGAGACTCAGCAGGGGGAGAGAAGCTGAACTGAGGGAAAGGGAGCTGGGGGGATGGCTCAGAGATACTTCCAGCGAAAACAGTGGTGAGGTTTCCGGACCTCCTGTAGCGACACTCACTCCTCGCCGGAAACTGTCACGCAGAGAGTCCAGAAGACGTGTTTCCGTTAAGGAGCTTTTATGTTGGAAGCGATTACGAAAGCAACCACTGTCGGAATCTTCTAGTGACTAGAGGAGCCATGTCAGAGGGGCTCAGTCACAGACAGAGGTTTGTGGACTTGAACAAACTCTGAGGGAATACGATTTTACGCACAAGCAGCTCATAATCCCATCACAGCATTCCGACAGTCTTTGAACGCAGCTTGTGCAGGAGAAGGCATAATGAGCAACCCAGCAGGAACCGGAGAAGCAGGGGCTGGAGCGGGTCCAAGCCTGGAAGAAAGGTACCGGGTGTTGGAGGTCCAGCTGGCGCTGCAGACGGCGAGGCTGGAGGAGAGGAGGGCTCAAGATGCAGACAAAAGGGAGAAAGCCACCCAGCTCGCCAGAAAGGTACCAGGATTGGTGCAGAAATTTGGGGGGGAGCCCAAAGACTATCATAGCTTTCGGACAGAAATGCAATATGCCCTCAATCTGCAGTTTGATGATTTCCTGATGAGGAATCACGAGTGGCTTTTGTGATTGGGCATCTTGAAAAGGGGCGAGAGACTGGGTGAGACCCCTGATGGCAGCGCATAGTGACGTCCTAAAGGACACGATGAAGTTCTTTCGCGCCATGGATCTGATGTTTTCCAGCGATATTGAAAAGGGAGTGGTGCGCAGACAGTTAATGGCTTGCAAACAGGGAGCCGATCTGTACGTGAGTACTGGACTGAGTTCACCATGCTGATACACAGATTGGGGTGGGACTTATCGGCGGAACCCATTCAAATGCTCTTTGAAGAAGGGCTTTCTTCGGCTGTGAAAGATGAACTTTCCCGGGCGCCCAGGGCGGAGTCTATGGACCAGCTGACCAAATCAGCGCTGGCCATAGGAGCGCGCCAGGAGGCGAGAGCATTGGAGAGGCGGGAAGGGAAAGGGGAACGTTGGAAGGAGTTCCGCATTCCAGACATTCCAGAGCCAACTGTCCCGCCGGCAGAGCCGATGGAAATCGGAACAGCGCGCGCGCGCAGTTTCAAAGCCCAGTGAGGGGGAAAGAAGGATGGAAAAGGCGCCCGGAAATGCTATCTCTGCCAACAGCCAGGGCACTTTGCCAGAGTCTGCCCCCAGAGGAAGGAATGGCAAGGGATGGTGGGAGCTGTGGAGGGAAGAGAGGGAAAAATACCGGAGCAACTAAAAGCCAACGCCTGGCTGCCATTGTCGGGGCACAGCAGCCAGGCCAAAGAGCAGTGAAAGTGCCCACTCCAGAACCTCCTAAACCCGCCCTAGTGATAGAAGTGACACTAGAGCTGCCAAACGGACACCCTCTAAAGATAAAGGCGCTGTTGGACTCAGGCAGCTCCTGCAATTTCATGAGCAAAGAGTTTGCAGCTGAACACCAGATACAGACGCTCCCTTTAAGCAACCCCTGCAGGTAACCACGATCGATGGCAGGGAGCTGTTGGGAGGAGAAGTCAGCTTGCAGACCGTCCCAATGATAATGAAGGTGGCAAGGCACACCGAACTAATAGCATTTAATGTGGCCACCTTGGGAGGAGCTCCCATTATATTGGGGATGAGCTGGCTAGCGTTACATGATCCGCTGGTGGGCTGGCATCAAAGAGTGGTTTCTTTTGGGTCAGCACATTGCTTAGAACATTGCAAAGAGGGAAGGGTTTTGGCAGGGGCCCAAGCCACTCTAGCAGGGACTGAAGTGACGGAGAACGTGAAGGTACCACGACAATACGCAGATCTCCGCGACGTCTTCAGCGAAAGGGAAGCTGACCAACTACCACCGCATAGAGCCTTTGACTGTCAAATCAATTTGCTCCCTGGGGCACAGCTCCCTGTGGGCAAGCTGTACGCCATGTCAGACAGAGAGATGCAGGAGCTAAGAGAGTTCATTGACAAGAACCTGAAGAGAGGGTTCATCAGAGAGTCCAGGGCGGTGGGGGCAGCCCAGTGTTTTTGTGGACAAAAAACACGAACAAGCCGAGACTGGTGTGTGACTTCAGGGCCTTAAATGCAGTGTCAGAACCAGTGGCCTTCCCGATGCCCAGGATTGACGACATTTTGACAAGGGTGCGGAAGGGAAAGATTTTTACCAAGCTGGATCTAAGGGGGGCGTACAACCTGATACGAATAAGGAAGGGGGATGAATGGAAAACCACCATGTTCACCCCTTTAGGGGCATTTGAATACTTAGTTATGCCCTTCGGTCTACAAGCAGGCTCCGCAACATTTCAATCGTTTATGAACCACGTCCTGGGGCCGTTGCTTTACAAGAATTGTGTGGCCTTCTTAGACGACGTGTTGGTGTATTCTGAGAATGAGGAGCAGCATGTGAGAGACGTCAGAGAAGTGTTGAGCAGGCTGCAAGCCAACCAGCTGTGGGTGAAACTGGAGAAGTGTCAGTTTCATACCAAGGAGGTGGAATTCCTGGGGTATCGCCTGTCTGACAAGGGGTTGGCCATGGATCCCGACAAGGTCCAGGCGG